TATCACTATCAATACTCATAACAATAATGATAATGATTATAACAATGATGAAGACAATAACAAAATTGAAGGAGTGAAAATATACCAAAATATGTGACTGACTTACTAATCCAAAAGATCTATAAATATTTTAGTGAGTGACCATATAAACATCAGAGCAAGGAAGCCAATGAATTAGGTATGTATTCCAAATCACTGGGTATATATATCAAAATGAAACTATATCAATATGTCATAGAACAAACACCCCAAGTGGGTATGAGAAACAACATACGCAAACAGTTTTCCCATGCAGCCAAGACGGGTCCATATGCAGGCTTACCTCAATATTCTAGAAGCACCATTTACAATGAAGAATCCACCAGTCTCATTGACCAGCTCTCCGTGGGCAACAAGCTCCTTTGGGGTCATTTTGTGCAGGTTGCAATTCTTTGACTGGAGGGAGTTTCCAGGGAAGAGATAGGAAAGCCTTGATTATTATTTTTTCTAACAAATACTATGCACATAAGCTTATAAGACACCTATATGAGAGAGAGAGAGAGAGAGAGAGAGAGAGAGAGAGAGAGAGAGAGAGAGAGAGAGAGAGAGAGAGAGAGAGAGAGAGAGAGAGAGAGAGAGAGAGAGAGAGAGAGAGAGAGAGAGAGAGAGAGAGAGAGAGAGAGAGAGAGACGAGAGAGACAGAGACAGAGACAGAGAAGAGACCAGAGACAGAGACAGAGACAGAGACAGAGACAGAGAGACAGAGAGAGAGAGAGAAGAGAGAGAGAGAGAGAGAGAGAGAGAAGAGAGAGAGAGAGAGAGAGAGAGAAGAGATTTTTTCTAACTCATACAGACACACCACTCGACTGGAAACTCACCATCACCATAATAGGGATTTCTCCGAGTGGCTGCCTAATGCACATCATTTCTTCATCATTGAGACTCCAATCCATTATGCATGTGGCAGGGGCGGAATATGTGCAAGCACGCTCAATACATTCCTTTGGGTAGATATTGAGGTCATCCGCCTCTCCTGCTCCAGCTGGTAGTCTCGGCTTTCCAATAATGACATCCTGAGGTGAAAATGTTGTGAATTTCAACATAAATGTGCAATAATAAGAATATATGATGTACCAGTAAGGTTACATACTTAAAAAGAGATGGGGGGAAAAAATTGATCAATTTTTATATATTTAGTAGCAATCATTCATTATGAAACAAACCAATATATCAAACATTTGCTATGCTATTATGCAAGTTTTCAAGATAAAGAAATTCTAATGTCATACAAAACTTTCCATTCCAAATTAGATTCTAGTTGTTCGCAAAGGACCATTACCAGTAAAATCAACTCAATAACTACATACTTTGAAAGTGCAAAAAAATAAACAATACTTACACTGATTCTAAGCGATATTCTTTGATTATTAGGGAGGCTAAACTCAAGTGGAGGAAGACAGTTGATAAGAGCCCTGAGTCCATCACCAAGAAAGAAATTGAAGGACTCCACGTGAGGTGCCGCCAAAGCAGTAATGGCCTGTAAGTAGAAAATCAGATATCAAATCTTTGTCCATCAAGTAACTTTTAAAACAGTTTTTGTGTTCTTTTTTTATTAAAAGAGTGTAGGTGGAACAACTGCAAGGTCCCTAGAAAATACTGGTCTAAAGATGTTTAGTACTAAATAGTAAAAAATGCATGATATATAAGGAAAAGGTTAGGAAGACACCTGCAGTGGTTCCCAAGATGAGACTTTTTGCTAATAATCATATTAGCTTTCTTTTCTCCAAATCCATCTGCGAGTTGCTGGGATTTGGGATGGAAGACCAACAGTCTTTGGTCCAGCTTTATCCTAGAGTAGTGTCATGTAATAATTACAGCTTCTGTGTAATATGCTTTGGTGAAGAATTACAAACCTCTTTACACATACAGGAAGGACTGAGCTTGGAGTGATTCCTCATTTGTTGATAAAATGACTAGGGGAATGAGAAGCTCCATGTACCTAACATATGTGGCGAAGGAAATGGCAAAAAAGAACACACATAATAATATCATTAGAATTAAAACATCATCTACTGATTATCATCCACAACCAATATCCAATTATCTCAGTGACTTGGCTCAGTCTAGCAGTGATGTGCCAGGATACTGTGGACTCGCATTCCTCCCAGGAACAACTACCTAAACATTTTGAAATATGATTCAGCATCCAGCCACAAACACCTCTTCTAATGTATTCATGGACCTTACCTCATTCTGTTTCTCGGGTATTTTACCGAAGTCTAGATCTTTAAGGTGTCTGAGAGACAATTCGACTGATCTTTTAGAGTCCATGATGTACACAAGAATCTGAATTCCTCTTCTTCAATTTGATATTATCTATATGTTTTCTCTGTCCATATACTCTAACTTCCGTCAAAGGTTTGAGACTGTTACTCGGATTTTCTCCGTTAAGAAGAAACAGGGCCAGTCGACCCGGGCCTCACGTGGGCCAGCTCGCAATTCACATGTAAACAAACACTGTGAAGGAAAGGGACCCAGTGTATAAATCAAAGGTGAGATTAAGGGATTCTTTGTATAAGATCTGTGAAGATTTCCCTAACACGAATTATATGATATACAAAATTATAGAGAATTAAAAAAACATTCATTGATAGGAAAATGATGATAGTACCATGACTTTGAAGGTGACTTTTATTATTTACTGAATCAAAAATAAAAATCTCCACTCGTTTAAAAAGATATGAATATGTGTATGTTAATAATATATCACATATGTAACCATAGATATACTTCATATCCAAATATGTCTAGATATAGATATAAATGTTCATAATATTTTAGGCTTGTCGAATCTAAAAAAATAGGCTCGTTTCCCCACCGAAACGATTGTTGACATTGTTTTGTTTTTACTGGGATCTCGTACCACGTCCTTCCTTCGTGCATTTCGGTTATTTTCAAGCTCTTTAATTCACAATGGAAGATGTTTTCAGACTCGAAAGACTGTCTTTGGTCTCCAAGATATGCGTGGAGTTGGAGAATCACTTGGGAATTAATGATAAAGATGTTGGTAAGTGTGAGAGGACTGTGCTTCTACGTCTCTGTTTTGTATCAAGTTATTTATTCTTTCTTATTAAGATTGTTGTATGTATATATTTTTTGACCCGATTAATTGTTAACAAGTAACAATACCGTCTGAGTTCGGAAATACACTTAAGATAATAGCAAGTCAAGGAGCACTTGTCATATCCATGTGTTGGCAGTGTATTACTAGGATTTTTTTTATTTTTTTCCCTTATTTCTTGTGTCTTGTATGTATTTGTGCACTTTTACTTGTGTTTCATTCTAAGTAAATGATGCCCAAAGGACCACGTTGTTAATATTGAAGATATTAACTTTGATATATTACTTATAATGTAAATAGACGACGGTTAATCATTACGGTAGGATGCACCAAGCTAGGGTAAACTGAAGATTATATTCTTGTAGAGGACAAAAAGTTGCAGTCTTTGGTACAAGAAATAATCTGCAGACACAAATGATAAGGTCACAAATAAAGGAAAAATATCGTGGAAAGCAGTCTGTACTCTCGAGTTTCAGCTCTGTCTTGCTGTGCATACTTAGGTGAAGGCATTGTTTGTCAGGAGGGTGTTGGGGGGTGAGTCCCATCAACCCTCCCCTCGAACAGTACACCCAGTCATGGCTACTTAGAGCTCGCTGTCTCTCTCTCCTCCTCTCCTCTCCTCTCTCCTCTCTCCTCTCTCCTCTCTCCTCTCTCCTCGCTGCTCTCATATCTTTATTATTTTTATTGGAATTGCCTTTCTCCGTTATTAATTATTGTTCAGAGAGCCATTAATTCTAACTATCAATGATTAATGAGGCCATTATCTATTCCAACAGCTGAATTCATCATTGCCCTGGCAGAGAAGAGCAAACGCCTTGACAAGTTCAAAAAGGAGCTTGAGGAAAATGGAGGGGATCAATTTGCTGTGAGTTGTCCGATGAAGTCCTTGTTGGTTTTGTTTGGCAATTTGATTTTATCAGTTTCATTTTCATTTCAAATAGTCAATATTGTTATCATCATTTTGCTGAATTAATTTAAATGGTGTAATTATGATTTATTTCATTGTGACTATTATCATCATTAATGCTAACACCATCATCATCAATAAACATCATTATCATCATCATCAATGTCATCATTGCCATCATAATTATCATTGCTATCATTATCATAACCTCCACCACTATTATCATCAGCTTCAGTATCGTGAAATGGTATTGTCATGCAATGATATTTCATAATTTATCTACAGGAATTTTATGTTTAAGCTATATAATATATAAAGGAATATGAATGCAATATAAATGCAAATGTAATGAAGTATATTTAAATATTAGATTATTAAAAGTGTAAAACAATAAGTAAAGCTGATATTACGAAATTAAGAAATATGCAGATAGAGTGCTAAGTAGAAAAAAGAAAAGAAAAGATATGCATAGAGAAATATAGTACAAAACTAATAAATAGATAGCTGTATACATGGTAAGCTGACATGGGAAAATAATGAGTGATTTAATGAGTTAGATGAATAAGGCTAAAGGTCAAGAAATAACAGTTAATACTGATTTATGATATAACATCAATAGAGCAGGAGCTGCATAAAACAGAAAAATGATTTATGGTATTTTATTGAGCTGGCCATGTTGTTTTAGCCTCCTTGGATATCCACAGAGGATTTGGGAAAGACTTTTGGTCTATATCTTTGGATATCCACTGAGGCTATCTTTTTCGTTGATAATTGGTGCTCCATTTTCCTAAACCACTCCGAAGTCATGGTCCAAGATAGAGCAAGTCTCATTTCATGCACCTCCCTGTTTCATCCCTTGGCTGCCCATCCTTAAACCTACTGCCCGCTATCCCTTCAGTGGCTGTGTCAGTGCCAGTATTGAAATTCATATTTTTTACTGCTTGGATTAAGTTTGATATGGTCAAAACAAGTGATGTAAACAATCATTGCTCCTTTAGCTGTCCCTTCTCCATCCGTATGCATGTAGTTGATTAAAGTATAGAAGAAAATGAGGTTGGTAGGCAGGTTTCTTGTCTATTCCACCCCCCCTCAGTTCTGTAAATAGGTAATCTTTCATCTGCAAAGTAGAGTTTTGCCCATTACAGATGTAGCATATTTTAGAAGATAGCAACATACTCAAAGTAAATGTTTGGTGAAAAAATGCATTCTCATAGTAGCTCTTAATTTCCTCTGCATTTTTTTTTTTTTTTCCAATATTACTCATAATCTGTTCTGCTTTGCAAACCAATGATTGTATTTTTCTTTTTAAATTTGTTTTCCTCTGCATATAGAATGAATGATATCTTCTCACTTTGATGTTTCCTTTACTCTTGCAGGATTCATTTGTTGAAAGTTTGTGGAGGTTGATTCAGCACATGATGCCGTCCCTCACGGCCGGCCCTGTGCCGGAAAAGATAAAGGAGGAGCCAGGAAAGCCAAAGACAGAGAAGGACTGGAAACGTGAAATGCTGCCCTTCTTGGCCTTGCCTAACGATCCCAAAGTACTCAACATGTTGGATGATGAGCTAAAGCCTAAGGTGAAGGAGGAGCCCCAGACAGAACACCGTCTCAAGAATGGCAACAACAAGGAGAAAGAGAAGAAGAAAAAGAAGAAGAAGGACAAAGACCGTGAACGAGAGAAGGAAGACAAGCAAGACAGGAAGGTGAAGCCTGACCCATCACTGGAGGTGGATGACCTGATGGCCTTTCTGGAGTCGCATGCTCCCTCCAAGCAGAATACAAAGGCCAGAAGCAAAAGCAGAAGCCGTAGCAGGAACAGGAGTAGGAGCAGAAGTAGGAGTAGAAGTAGAAGCAGGGAAAAGAAGAGGAGATCAAGGGAAAGAGAGAGGGAGAGGAGGAGGAGCAGAAGCCGCAGCAGGGATAGAGAAAGGGATAGGGAAGGGACAGGACAGGGGACAGGGACAGGGACAGGGACAGGGAAAGAGACAGGAGGAGGTCAAGGAGCCAAGAAAGATACAGAGGGAGGAGGGAGCGGAGTCGCAGCCGAGACAGGCACAGGGATAGAAAGGAAAGGGACAGGAGAGAGAGGAGCAGAAGCAGGGGGAGAGACAGGCACCCGAGAAGAAGCAGGAGCCGGAGCAGAGATAGAGACAGAGAACAGGAGAGAGGAAGAGGAAGCAACCGTGAGGCCTTTGTCAACAGGCCACCTGATGAGAACCCTGTTGTTGGGAAGGTGAATTTTATTTGCTTTCTGCTCTGCTTACACTTTCATATATGTCATGGGATACTTTTTATTTTGGAAAGTGATCTGATCTTAAAATTTCTGTTCTTGATGATTTCTTTTTCAGTCTGAAAAATTTCTTGTGTGAAATATTAAATTATTAAGATTTATTACAATCCTATCACAATTCTTTCTTATTACACAGTCAATACCTCAACTGAAGTATCCTGAATTGTTTTTTATGGTAATTTCTCTTTACAGAAGTTTCCACAGTGTCATTTAGCCTACTGATTCCGGCTCCTCGTCTCACATTAATCTTTTCTTAACATTTCCCATAGGTTTACGAAGGTAAAGTGACCAACATCCTCAACTTTGGGTGCTTTGTGCAGCTGGAAGGACTGCGTAGGAGGTTGGAAGGTCTGGTTCACATCTCTCAGCTGCGCAGGGAAGGACGTGTGACAAATGTGTCGGATGTGGTAGTGAAGGGGCAGAAAGTGAAGGTGAGAGATTTTCCTTCCAGGAATATGACAAGAGTTTAGGAATGTTGTTGTTATTAGTGCTTTTATTCTTAAGAAGAATCTTTATTATTAATTTAGTAACAGTGTTAAATGGTCAGCCCTTGAAGAGAAAACAAAAAGGACAGAAAACCATTTTGATGAAATGAAGTGTTTTTTTTTTTTTTTTTTTTTTTTTTTCTCTCATCAGTATCATTTATCCAAATGCCTGAAAACTGATCCCTTTTTTTTGCAACACAACAGGTGAAGGTCCTGTCTTTCACGGGCCAGAAGACATCGCTGTCCATGAAGGATGTTGACCAGGACACGGGTGAAGACCTCAACCCTAATGTTGCACCCATGGGAGGAAACAGCCAGGATGAGGATGCCATGAGGAACCCCGACAGACCTATGTCACTCATGGAGCTGACTAAAGGTAAGGCCAGATGTTTAGAAGATCAACATTGTATACCATCTCTTTACTTATTCTGCAGAAAGTTATTATGTGAAGTTTCAATAACCTGTAGTTCGGAGGGCTGCATTGATATGACTCGAACATCTCTCTTTAGTTATATAAGTGAAAAACCTTGCATGTGAAGCACTTCACTATAAATCTATTGGCAAGAGCAGGAAGTGAGGAGAGAATGTTAGCGTGCATAACAGGTTGTGGCTTTCAGCATGTAAACTGCATACTCAAATTAGAATTGTGTACAGTTTTGAGTGGGTGAAGATGTAAATGATAGAAAAGAAGTAATGCATCTGGTTTTCCACCCACAGG